TATAACTATAATATTTTTATTTTTATGCACAAATTTACTATTATTATTTGTTTCAAATAAATGAATGAATTATTGTAGGATCGTGATCGATTCTGGGATCGATGTGTGCAAATAGTGAATGAACGAAGTGCCGATATGTTACGACTTAATTCATCATCAACTTATTTTACGGAAGTATTTGCCGAATTAAAACATTATGCTTTAGATGGATAATATAATAAATCACTTATATAAATGAGTAAGATTTTTTTTACTTTTATATTTCATCAATGTGTAAGATTTTTTACTTTTATATTTTACAAATGAAAAAATTTTTTATTTTATTATAAAAGTTGCAAAATTTCATTTTTATTTTTTTACCATTCTGTAATTGCTTATTATACTTTGGCACAGTCATTTTATTTGGATCATTTTCTCTTTTTTTTTTTCGTTTTTGCCATTTTTTGATATAATTGTAACCAGGGATCAGGAAAGTTAAATATATTAAGATAATTTCAATTAATTGCTGTTATTATTAATAATTTCATTTTTTATGTTGTTTCGCATCGAAATAATCTTTAACATTTATTTATTTCAGATTATTTTATGAATATATCAGTTTTTTACCTGCACATGAGGAATCGCTAGTTAATTCACGAAACTTCTGGAATTACGATTGATATACGATTGATAAACTGACAATAGTATAAAGAAACAGAAACGGTGCTATTTCATTAAGAAATAATTGGAACATTTGAAAGTTTATAAATTTAAAAATGAAAAAGTTATCGTTGTCTTTCCCAGTTTTGTCCCATATTGATGAGATATTTCGTTAGCTTAAAAAATGTTAACATATGATGAAAACTGAATACCTGAAAATTAATCAAAAGATATAAAAATATCCAGTGATAGTTAACATCATTTTGAAGTAAGAGCTTTTTAGATATTGAATAAAATAATGAATTAAGTACTTTTTTAAGAAATAAATGAAAGAATTAAAAGACAGAAGCAAAATGATATGATTTTAAAACGACAGAATCTTTCCGTTAAGAAATAAAATATCTTTAGAAAAAAATGAGAAAAATTAAAATGAAAAATAATTAAGAAAAAGAAAATTTTCGATTTTCAAGTATTCAATTTTCGATTATCATTAGTGCAGCGGAAAATTGATGCAGTTTGAAATGCTCAGATATTTATTTTATTTAAAATTTCTATAATTCCGCAATACTGATATCTTCCTCGAATTTGGTTTTTCACCAACGTGCAGTTGTTCCACTTGTCAAAAGATTATTGGCATATAATTTTAATATGGAAAAATAAAGCAACGAAATTTCAAATGAAATTTAATTGGCAAAATTATCCATGATGAATTGAAAATAGATCATTCGATTATTAATAACCTAACTAAAATAAAATTAGTGTGCACATTTCCATGCAATTTCTTATCATTTTTTATCAGGATGTATCAAAAAATTTTAACCCTAGGGAAAATCAATATTTTCATTTATAAATTTATCAACAATGGTAACCTTTATTTGATCTCACCCAATCTTTTCTATCATATTGCATCCTATAATTCAATATCTAATATTTTGATCTCAATAGATGTGGCTGTATTAAAAATTGAAATTATTATAAGAAATTAATTTACAGAAAATCTATTGCATTACAATCGATACAAACTAATTATAATTTCAATATTAGTCTTATCCTCTATTAAATTAAGAAATATTTTTTTAAAATCAATTAAGAAGTAAAATTTCTATCCAACTTAGGATTTTTTCCATTTTCGACCATGAAAAAATTAAATAAATTAGCAAAAATGATAATTGACAGAAAGCATTTTTGATTATATTTTTCGGATTCCTCTTCATCTAAAAAAAGAAAAAAAAAATTTAAAGCATTTTACAGTTTTAATAATAGCCTAGGCTTAGTTAATATTATTGCTACGTTTTCATCGTTTTCTTCTATTTACTGTAAATTTTTATCTTTAAAAGGCAACATTTTTTGCGAGATTTTTTTAAGAAGAAAAAAACTAATTAAATTAAATTCTTTCACTCAATTAATTTTACTGGTAATGCTACAACACTTCGATTACTTACAACCAGTGTTGTTGGCAAAAATTAAATGCAATTACGCGTGGATTTCCAATTACATATAAATTTCCAAAAAGCAAATGCTATTCTTATGACCCCAAACCTATTCTATTTGAAATCTCGAAAAAAATTTTTGTTGTGTGATCGATAGGAAATAAATGAAATTATCACTTTACTGATTGTAGCATTAAACTGATGCCATGAATGTAACACCTGTTTGTTTGTTTGTTTACACATAATAAATCATGTTTGTTTACGTGCAAAACGCATATGAGAGATATTATCTCATGTAAATTTTTTTTTTTTTTTGAATGAATTTGTAAAATTGTACTATAAATGCGCGTTCTATTTTCTGATGCTAAAAGTGCTTCCAATATCCATATAAATGCTTCTATATTGTATTATACTGCCGCTAATAAAGCTATTCGAATTAAAACAACATTAATTTAACGTAATATAATTTATGTAAAATCGTATCGTAAAATGACATGAACATGATATATTTTAAGAAAATAAACTTTTAAAAGAATAGACTTTTAAAAAATAAATAAACTTTAAAAAAAAATAAACTTTTACAAAATAAACTTTTAAATGGTAGGCATGCAATTAATTAATTCATTAATAATTGATTCATATTAAAAAACATTAACCATAATAGTCTTTCATATATTGAAAAAGTATTAACTTTTTTCTTGCTTATAGTATGTAAGCATAACAAATGCATTAGCAATACTTGCCTTTTATGGAATACATTACAATAACGCCTTATTATTTGCAAATTTGATTTAATTTTACTAATATTCCTATCAGTATATTAATGGATGTTGCAATATAGAATTGCATGACGCACATATCTTCTTTAAAAATATTGCTTCAATCGATATAACAAATATTACATACAATTTGCACGTAACACGAAACATGTTATGTTTCACCGAAATTAAAACCATTTATTATCGTCGTTATCCACATCGTACACTTTATTATTTCTTCAATATTCGCACTCTTTCTAACGGTTCATAAATATCTCTGACCGCACATGCATTTATGTATGGAAAGTACATTGTAATAAATTTTTTACATTCATTCTACCTATCCTACCCTATCCTTATCCATACCACCCACGCATACATACACACACACACACACACACACACACACACACACACACACACACACACACGCACACACGAACGCACGCATACATATGTGTACACACAGCAGCAGCAGTCGTAATCGTGCAGCGGAATTGTACTGACATCATTTTGCACATTTCAAGTTAACATATTTATTTATTAAGAAGGATTTCCGAATCGCTATATTGCTATATTGTTCTATGGATCACGGTTTACGGATCGCTTTAATGCTTTGTGGATCTCATTTTCCGGATCGCTAAATTATTTTGTGTGTTTTGGTATGTATTAGTGAACCTTCCGGAATCGTTGTGTTGTTTTGTTGGTCTTTGGTTTCCTTTAATTCACTTTAATGCTTCTGATTTCCGAATTGCTATATTGCTCTATAGATTTCAGTTTTTGAATTAGTATATTTGCATTACATTTCGTGATTTTCTAAATAGTATGTTGCTTAGTATTTTCGGTTGATAATCGGAAATGTTTCAGTAATAGCACAGGAGTAGCTCCTTTTTTTTTTCAGCATATTTTCCAAGCATTCTATACATTCATGCTCCATTCAATATCGAGCTTATTCTGATGACTTCTTCAATGCTAATAATAGTTAGATTCGTTTTGTTTTATTTGTTATTTTATTGAAAGTATACGTGAAACATGTTCTTGTTCATATATTAAGCGGACTTGTAATATGCAATGCTATGATTTTCCGTTGAAAATATTTTCATTATATTTATAGGTGATTTAATCTGACAGTTTATCCTAATGGAACAAATCGAAACAGCTGGTGGTTCAGAGGCAGTTTTTGAATTGATCAATATTATACGACAAGATCCAAGTATTTGGGATCGAACATCCACAACCTACATTACTCATTTTGATTTAAAAATACATCGATTTGCGGAAATTGCTGAACAACTCAATTTGGAAGCTGGTTGGTACTGTTCTCTCGTTGATAACAGTATCTTTTTAATGTATCATTCATTAGAAATTAAATGAGATATCATTGTAACTCTGTTATTTTATGTTATTCTGCAAGCATTAGTTACTTAAATACTATATAATCATGTGTATAGGCTGTTAATACGTATGCAATATGATAGGTTAATTCTTGTTGAAATTGCGTATTAGAAAGTGAACGCGTATTGGAAAGTGAACCATTCATGATAATCTTCGTGATCATACAAGAATGGATTTAATTTTAATAATCAAAAGAGATGAATAATCACATGAATCACATTTTTGTTTCTTTGAGGACATTAGAGAAAGAAAGCTTCAACTTTAAATTTATTCATATGCACATGAATTAAGTTAAAGTTTAAAGCTTTCTTTTATTATGACTTATTTTACATAAGATTCCATGCTCATTGAAATAATAAATTTCCATTTTCAGATGTTGAAAGAACAATTGGCATTGGAAAATAGTTGAAATCACTCATAGATCAAGATTGTTTTTGAGGCCATGTAGTTTACTTTGTCCCATATTGCAGCCTATACATTTCATTATTAGTCTGCTACACTATGCCATTTTGTTATTTCTGAGTTTTTTTTTTTTCGTTTCAAAAACAAATAAGCCTTATGATTGTTTGAAATTCGCATTCATAGTCTCCGAATTTTCCTTCGTTTATACAAGATTCTAAAATGTTGTTATTTCAGTAACAGCCGAAGTCGTAGCATCAGCATGGCGAGAATTGAGCGAGAAATATCGTCGACGATTATATGATGGTAAACGTCGGAATGGTGCAACAAATTGGCCGTATTTTGAAGCGATGAGCTTTTTACGAGATCAATATGAGTAAGGATTGTTTTTCTTTATTTTATTAACATTAAAAACATTTATTAAAGATTATTTAAGTGAACTTAATTGTTCAATAATTTATTGTTTTTCACTGTTCATTGTTGACGATGATTGTGTCAATCGCATTCACATGTTCAGATTTTTACGATATAATTGTGATTAATACGATATCTTTTTCACATATCTGTTTGTATTCGAACTATTTGCAGACAAACTAAGTGGTATCGTCCATTATCGGTATCACGATCTAATCAATTATCATCTTCATCAAATGTTGCACATCTGGTAGATACATTCTTAACTGCACAAGCAGTCCTTGATGCTGAGCAAACAATCTCAAAAGCTGTTGAACCAATGCTTCCTATTACTTTGTCAGATTCTTTACAGGTTATTTATCTTAGATTTGTTGGCTATTATTAGGTATCTTTCTTGAAAATAATGTAACGATTCTTTAAGTTAGCCTTCAGAATAAAATTGACGATGTTAACTTCATAACGTTTCTATCCGGTGCTTTGCGATAGTTGTTTACTTTGAGTGATGCTTGCTTGGATCATCGAAGTGTATAATTTTGCTAGCCAACATTTGCTTCTCATTATTTTACTGTGATACGTTATTATCCCCTAGTCATTACTATCTAGATGCATTTTTTAATGAGGAAACATGTTCTATAATAGGGAAAAGTAATGGAGAAAGAATTAACAATTATCATTTAATGAGAAATGTTATTATTTGTGGCTGATGTAAGTCGTCAATGATGTACGTTGACTTATTTAATATTTTAATAATGACACTTTTATGCTAGTTGCCTCACCATCATACTGAGAAATACATAGAATTTACTAACTAATTGAAATGAAAATGAATGGAGATGAATTGATTTTGTACATATATTTTCCAATTTACTAAAGCTTATTTGCTGTTTCAGCAAAAGGGAGATACAGTGTTAGCTATCCCGGTTGGAAATGGTGATGAACGAAGTCAGTTCGACAGTTTGTTTGTTATTTTTTTTTTTCATTTGTTCTTTTTGTTTGATTTTGGTTTTATTGCTTTTCTTCTTTTTCATTCTATCTTTCAAATTTAATTAAGACTTATAACTCTATTCCTTAATTGTTATAGAAGCGGAATTCACAGCTAAATACGAATTGGTTGATCCTACGTTTCATTCCTTTACAACCGCTGACCAAAATGAATTAAGCGGAAAGTAAGTTCTTTTCTTTCCTTCTTGATTTTTCTCTACGAAAGTAGGTTTGACATGTTGAAAAGATTGACACACTTTTGTTATGTATTCAATTTCTAATTCCAATATATAAGTTTTTATCCTGATTAACTTTTTTCTAAAAAATGCAATTTCAATGTGAAATAGTTTTTAAAGCTTTTAAAGCACTTCTTTAGGTTTAGCTTCTAAAGCACTTCTTGGTGATGAATTATTAAAAAAGATTAGTCTGCAATAAAAAAGATTAGTCTCTGATAATCGGATAGTATACTCATGTGCTAAATTCCACCTACTTTTAAATTCTTTTGCAGATTACAAAACACCATCATTGTATCATTATCCTCTTTTTACCTACACAGTTAAATGACAGAAGTGCTTTCCTTTTGCCTTCTTCATCACACTTTAATTATAACAGTATAGATTTAAAAAAAAAATTAATTTCTTTTCTAATTATCTTAAAACTATTACATATAATATCATCCGTTAATTGAATGAAGAGAAATTGTTTTAAATGAATAATGTGAAAACTTGATCTTAATCATTAAGCGTTTATAATTTGTTCATTTATATATTTTTTTCACTTCTTAATCTTGAAGAATTTACTTGCAGTTATACAAGAACTGCTTACAGCGTTGACGTGGATAATATTGCTATAGCTTCCGCTGCTGACAGTACAAAATCACCCGATAATTATGATGAAAAGCAGCCGGTATCACCAACAGCATCTGTTGATGGCTTGCCGCAGAGTAGTAACAATAGTATTACCGATCAAGCAATTCCTCTTCTTAAGACACGAATACGAGCGCAACGTTATGAAGCGTACAAAAATCCTCGCCGAATATGGAAACACCAGAAACAATCGGCATTACATGTATGTTATTAAAATGATTACTTTTCTATTTTATTTCTTCGAAATTGACTTAGATTTTCGTTTCATTTCTTCAGAAAGCAATTTTGAAATTTGATTGGAATATGTAATTGTCTAAATTTGAACTAAAACTTATTAAAAATAGATATTCAACATTTCGATATGTTGCTTATAGATGCTCTGGTAGTGTTTTTTAATTTCCATCAGAATTGCATGCATTTGATCAACAAATTTTTTTTTTTCTTGCAGCAAACTCCTGGCTCCGTTAACAATACTTTTTCCAGTGTTCCAACAGGGGAGACAGTTGCAGAGATTTTACGATCTGTGGTAAACTTTCATTTCGATTTTATTTTTCTCAGTAAAGAATTCAAATTTTCATCTAGTAATTACATATGCTGTTCAATTCTGATCATCACTTTATAGATAACGATATAGTTTGAGGTATGGTAAACATTATTTCACACACTTGAAAGACTACCTGACATCAATTTCACTGGTAAAATATTTCTAGAGTAATCGGTATGGCTTTGACTTGGAGTGGATATTAAAATAAGCACAATGGAGGAATAATGCGTTAGCGTGAAAAATTCTCTTTATTTTATTAGAAAAATTCTCTTTATTTTATTAAGATTATAAGTGTTTTGTAATTTTAGTTGTCATAATCTAATTAGAATTTATTTTAGCGAGTTGCCTCAGATGGGATACCATCATATAGTTTAAATTCGAACCCGCACCATCATTTGCAACAACAGCAGCATTTTTCACCTCCTCCATTGTGCGACAGTTCTTCGAGATGGGAGAATGTTGGTAGGGTGGATAACTCGTTTTCTTTAATCATGTTTTACCTTTGCTCAAGTTGCTTAGATTTTGGATTTTTTTATCTTTTTAAAATGGAGATCTTGTTCATTCAATGGAATAGTTCTACTATAATTATTCTGTACTCTCTGTTACGATTTTTAACATGTATTTTGCTTGCATATAGTTGAACTGCGAACTTTTCCTTTTTTTAAATGTTATTAACGGATTTACGTGGAAATTGATATTTATAGGCCGAGTGTGGGTAGATATGATGAAAATGATACGATCGCCTCAACTAGCACTTGCAGCCCACAAATATATCATGAACACATTGTTTTCCGTCCTGGAAGCTGATCAACAA